GACGCTGTGAAACCTGCCTAGCAGTCAGAGGAGATCATATCCCCTATTAAATACCGGATGTTTCTTGCTGGACACCCATCACAGGGATGTTTCGGCCTTCAGTCGCATTGCGCTCCATGCTACTTTTTCAATAAAGCTTCTTTTTATCCCTCTGATTTCTCTTTTAATAAGTGTTGCTTACATTACTCATGTCCTTACGTATTGGGGATCTTACGGTATTAAATGTGTTAATTTGGAAAGCTTTTGTACAATGTTATATAGAAAAAACCGTCTCGTCCTTAATTTTTGCACACCAGTGTATATATCCACGTAGATCGGTTACAGTTGATCTGTCATAGATCAGTTAATGCAAGCATAGTGATTTTAATGATAAGAGCTTTTGTCTGTTTACCTCAAATGTCTTCCTGTGAAAACAGAATCATCGTAACATTATTTCTTTCAGATTAAATGATGCTTAGGTTGTGGTGATAGGATAAAAGCAATATTCTTCAGAGAGCGGAAATTACAAACAAAATTAAATTATGTAGCCCCCAAACTGGACGTCATAGTTCATTTGTTAAAGATAAGTGGGAGACAGACCACTGGTCACTTAGCGCAAAGCACCTAAATTAAGCAACTTAACAAACCCTCAAGAGATAGCTGATGAAAGGGTGTCGTTGATATCTTTAACTGCTGCGGCGAAGTGCCTGTCAGGATGGCTTAGATCTTCCATGGCCTTGACCAGTTCTTGGTTCTGTTCTGTAGAACTGTTTTATTATAGAGTTGTACTTATAGTAGCAGATTTATCTATTATGTCATCTTTTCCTAAACATGCTTAGTTAATATTCATCTTTTAACCCATTGTCTTTCAAAATTTGATAATTCATAACGATATTTACAATTTACCGTCAATTAAATGTGAAAACTCTATTAATCGAATTAAAATAAGCAGCGTTTAGGAAGCTGCACGTTTAAATAAATTTTATGAAATACCTTTTGCTTCTTTTTTTAGGGGGGGGTTAGTGAAAAAGTAAAACCCATTACTTTTGCTGTTTCTGATGTCAAGTTGCACTACAATTTATATTCTGTGTTTTTTTCCAGAATTCAACAGGTTTCAGTATAAATCAACTGTTCACGATAGAAGAATAACAAAGACATAAAGAAAATAAATAGAATTATAAATTTATAAAAAAGAAACCCGAACCATTAATTCCTTCGAAAATTTAATTAAAAAATTTTACTTATCGGTGGATTTTATACTTTATTAAAAATTATTTTATTTTATTACACATTTACAGCAATTCATTAACAAATGAATGCTACATACAAGAGTAAAATATAGATATTATTTACATTTTAATTATTATTCTTTAATATCGTAATTTTAATGAAAGGTTGTTAATCACTCTACTTAGTCTTCATTATTTGCTGTTAAGTAAGAATTTTATTAGAAAATTGCATTCATTTCAAAGTGAGTGCATCTGTCATTGGTCATTATCCATAGATAATATGGTTCCTTTTTCTTTTTACTTTTATTTCATTTTTATTATAACCGTTAAATAATTAATTTGCTATTTATTAAATACAATGGTAGCGATAAGAATTTTAGATGGGATGATGCATGAAATTAACAAATTAATTATTTGGGTATTCTGATGTTATACTCGGGTAGCTATACCCGAATGCAGCTTTAATTCAATAAATCAGTGAGACAGTGATTCGTCAGAGTTTAATAGCTACAGCCATCATATTTCGGTTTTCACACCTTTTCACCTAATCAGTAAGAAATAAATTTATTAGCGTAATACCCATTCAGCAAATTCTCAGTTAATCCTTAAGAGTTATTCCTGGATGAGCTTCAAATGACACTGTTCAGTGCTTTCTAATACCTACCGAAATATACCGTTATCTAATCTATAACTGATTCTAGACAAAAATGGTAGATCATTACTGTGAATAGCATTATACTCTGAAATGCGGCTTTACTCTTTGCATATGTATTTGAAAATAACAACCCGCATATTACATAACTATTTTAGTTTAAATTTTATTTCATATTATTTCATACAAAATTTTACCCGCAATTTACGCTTTTAAGTTTCGAAACTTAAGCATGTCATAATTTTCAGACATAAATATCATTTTTTCATAATTCTATATATTATTTTACAGGTATAATTTTTTCCCCTAATCATAAAGTAGCCTTAATAATTTCACTTTTTGGGATATTAAAACGTTAAAAGTCAGTAAACGTTTCTTGTCGGAAAGCCGTACGAATTTCGTTAAAACTTAGCAAATCCACAAATTCGTTAAAACTTAAATAACATTCGCTTCTAATTAAAGTTTGAATGAATTTGTGGATTACTAATGCATATTAATTTGTAAAATTTTAATACGGTATATTAACTAACTTCAAAAAGAGGAAAATTTTAAAGAGATGAGCTTATGACCAGTAAAAGCCAATAAAACAAACTACCAACTTGGGACCAATACATAAATTCTATTGCCTATTATAGTAAATCTCTTTTTAATTCATCAGTGTTTTAAATATGTGTATAAAAAAATACTGATCTATAGAAAAGATCCAATGCAAGTATTATAGAATAGATACTAATAAAATTGTCTAAACCTGTCCTAGTTCTTTCGATGTTAAGAACGGCTTAGTGTCGTTTCGTTCTTTCCCAACTGGTCCTCAACAAAAATAATGCCGATTCGTCAATTCCACCTTCTATCAATTCCCTTTTTCCCGATCCATCCGCTCTTCCAAATGTTACTTTCCGATGCTGCGAACACTTCCCTTCCTGAATTAAATAATTTAAACGAGGTGGCTTTTTTTTTTTTTATTTCTAATATTATTAAGTACTTCCTTTAGACAATTTATTCCAAGCAAAGTAATGAACTGCAGACATGTTCAAAATACTTATATCTGAATCTAGCTACGATCTGATTATATAGTGCTCGTTTTTTTAGTTTCACGTACTTTTAAAGCTATAGATCTACGGTTTCACTGCTCTGAAAGAAAAAAAATATTACAAATTCATAATTAAAACTAATGCACATGTGAATTAAAAATACAATGAACTCTTTTTAATCGCGACAATCTACGATTCTAGAGCAAGGTCTGTAGATGTAGTAGTCTCAGAGAAGTATATTCAGTACAAATGTTTATGTTCACAAAAATACTGACTACTAGTCAGTTCACTATAATTATTTTTTTAATAGATAATGGAATTAATTTAAAATCGATTTAAGAAATGGCTCTTTACTCTAAGGAAAGTCTAAGAGCAATATAACTGAAATTTTTTCTTCCACGGGCAGCTGTTAGATAAGTATATTTTTTATATATGTATTCCGTTGTATGCGACTGATATATAACTATATATATTGAACAAATAACATATGCATAATAAATTATTAAAAAAATTAAGTTTTTTAAAACATCAATAATAATTCTTATTATTATCATAATAATACTATTTATGAATAATGACTCTAAGTAATATTAAATATACTTAGAATCGAAACACGCAGAATTCCGAATTTCACGATTTGTTTAATTATAAATTCATATTCATATTATGAAAATTTTTTATGAGAAATCTATTATATACGTTGTTATCATTTATAAATCTTTAAAAACAGTGATAAATGTGGCGAATTTTTCACCACATTCTATCATTAATAAAAGTTTGTTTTGCATAGCAGTTACAAACACGTATGATAAGTTTTAGTATTTTTTTCTGAATATATTTAAGATTCCAAAAGACGAGAATGCAATTTTAAGCTCAAATTTAGGGATTTTTTGTAATGAAATCTAATTCTTAACGTCGTGATGGTGATAAGCTATTATTGAAAATTTGCTGAATAACAGCAAGTTCGTCATAAACTTTTAATGCAGGTTCTTTTCTTTCAATATACTATCTTCAAAATTTGTCATTTAAGTCCCATTGCAATAAGCTTCTTGGTAAACTCAGTGTTATTTTTTTAATGTTTATGATCTACCTTATTATGACTGGATGAATTATGAATTATGACTGAATGTCCACGGGCGGTTTCAGTAAATTCGTGTTTTGCTAAGTTCGTGACCATGTTTTAAATAGACATGCATGAAAACACCAAAAATATCAGCAAATGAATCTCTATCAACACTTATTTGGAAAGGAGGGTAAATTCGGAAAGACTCATACCTCAGTCGGAGGCTGGCTGCGGATGAATTGGGAAAGATTCTATTAGAAAGGGTACTTACTGATGGAGGAAGATACTGGATAGCAACGGATGAACTGGCACGATTTTGACAACAAGTAGAAACAAAAAAGACAAATCGGGAAATCTCCGTTAAAAGTGGAGGCTGAGAAGTCATAAACTTTTTGTTTCTCATTAACTTTTTATTCGTTTGTTTGTTTGTTTTTGTTTTCAGTAAGGGAAGAGTACCGAAAACGAAGTTAGAAATAACGGTCAAGGGTTGTTTCTTATTCGTGCTCTACTGAGAAACACATTGTCAGGACTGAGCCAGGAAAACGGATGTTACAAAACTGATTAATAAGCACCATTCCTATCATACTTAAATCCACCATAAATTCGCAAGGAAGTAGTGCGTTTTAATTACTAAACACATTGGTAGGGAAAAGGAGAACAAAAATACAAACTGTATTTAATTCCCAACGAAGAAAAATAAATAACAGGAGAAAAATTTTTGACATAGAATTCCAAATGTAGATGGAAACATGAAATCTTGAATATTTTTCTCTTTCCGCTAATTTTCGGGGAAAAATGCATGGAATAAGTAATTAAAGCAATAAATATTGTTCACCATTTAAAAAATTAATTAAAAATAAAACTCTTTGCCGAGGAATCCGTTTAGCTATTTTTTAATTATATTTAATTTATTTTCCAAAATATTTTGGAAAAACTAATTTTGCCAGTAAATTGAGATATGGCTCAATACATGCTTAGCCCCCCCCCCCCCGAAAAAAAAAGAGAGAGACACACAAAAATTTAAAGTGATAAAATACAAAACTTACTTTTGGTCCTCTCCTATTGAAATACCTGGAACGTAGACAACGTAGCGTACAGTTCTTTTCTTTTCGGTTTGCTTAAATAAATAAATAAAATACAAGAAGAGAAAAATCACGAGATACCCGCTGACGGCAGATGAGTGCCGCGGCCGCGAACAGAGGAGCAGGTGTGCCGGCAAGATACTTTCATCGCTGCCTTCAAGAATCCGACAGAGAGAAGCGTACGTCAAGATTCAATGTCTTGTGGCACGACTTTCTTAGTTCTTACTACGGATCAAAGGTTGCCAATCGCCACCCGGTCGCCGCGAGCCTCACCGGTAAACCAGGGTTGCAATTGAACTTTCTTTATCGCCGTAACGGTGACTAGTATCCAGATGCTGAAATGTCATCTGGTTATCTCTAAAATTTTTGAATTACAGGAAGTGCAGTAGAATATCAAAATATCCGGAGTAAATGACACCAAAGAGAGCAGGATAATTAGGGAGCCCTTTTTTTCCTTCGGTAAACTAAATACAAAATTATCATTGAGAGAATTAATTTTTTTTCTTTATCGGACTTCGACAAGTATCAGATTGTTAATCTAATTCAACAAATTGCATAAAAGTTAAAAAAAAAAAAAAAAAAAAAAAAAAAAAAAAGTCTGAAATGTTTCAGATTTTAAATTACGTCCAAAGGGGCGTTTTTTAACATTTTTGTGGTTACCTTTCTTTATTAAATATCATGTTCCTCGCACTTAAACCATAAGATCCAGTGCAACAGCAATATCGCAAAATAGTTTTAAAACGAGCATATCTTTAGAATTTCCGATACAGAGACTCACGCGCTGGAGATAAAAATGTTTTTTCTGTACAACGTTGCCATTGCTCGCTTTGAAATCCTTGAGTTTGTTAATCAAAAATTCGTCAAGTTTTAAAAAAAAAATAGGAAAATCGATCATAAAACAAATTTCAAATTTCAAATTTGGTCTTCCACATGCTCATATTCGTTGGAGGATTACGTTATTCAAAATTCGATGACTCTGTGTACCGTTGTTTTTATCACAATACGAGAAATATATATACATTTATGCAGATTTTTTATTATTTAATTTCTTCAAATATAATGCAGGACTCTAACATTTTATGGCAACAGTTTGAAAAGTGAACCGACATTTATCCGTCCGACGCAAAATGCCAAAACGAAACTAATAGTCCTTCGGGATTCAAATCCCTTCGGACTAAAAAAGAAAGAAAGAAAGAAAAAAAAAAAGAAAATCTGAACGGTTTCAGATTTTAAATTACGTCCAAAGGGGCGTTTTTTTAACATTTTGTTTGTTACCTTTATTTATTAAATATCACGTTCTTCGCACTTAAACCACAAAATTCAGTTCAAGAGCACTATCGCAAAATAGTTTTAAACTGAGCAGATCTTTAGAATTTCGGATACAGGGTCTCGCGCGCTGGAGATAAAAATGTTTTTTCTGTACAGCGTTGCCATTGCTCGCTTTGAAATCCTTGAGTTTGTTAATCAAACATTCGTTAAAGATTTACAAAATATGAAACCATTAATAAAACAAATTACAAATTTCAAATTTGGGCTTCCACATGCCTATATTCGCAGCATGATCACGTCATTCAAAATTCGATGGCTCTACGTACCGTTGTTTTATCACGATATGAGAAATATACACACATTTATGGCAGATTTTTCATTATTTAATTTCTTCAAATATAAAGCAGGACTCTAACTATTGGCGGCAACAGTTTGAAAAGTGAAAAGGACATTTATAGCGAATCAACGCAAAATCGCAAAACGAAAACAATAGTCCTTCAGGGACAAAGCCCCTTTGGACCAAGATGATTTTATAGATAAAATAAATACCCAAACAGTTTCTATTTGAGAAAATAAATCTATAAAATTATTTTTATTTACACAGGGCCTTCAATTAAAAAAAATAGAATAGTAAGCATATAAATAGCACATAAATGCTTTTTCGTTTTTTATATGGGAATATTTTAATCAGCACTGAAGGCTAATCTATATGCCCTACCCTTTCATCTAAATTAATTTAACAGCCTTTTTAGTAATATTTAAATCAAATGGAAAAGTTCAAAGAAGCAAAAAAAATTAATAATAAGCTAAATTTTATTTAATTTTCAGCAAATAAGTAGAAAGTCGGTTAAATGGAGTTCTGCTATGAATGCATATTTTATGATGTATTTCCTTTTCTTTCATAATTTCAAAAATGAAGTTGTTATATTATACAATATATTAACTTCTCCTTTTGATAAACGTGTTGATAATATTCGTAGGATAAAGTCTAGCTATTTCTCATACCGGAGTGCTCTATCTCTGCATAAATTTGTTCTTCCCTTTAGAAATTATTTTCTTGTAAGAATCACCTACATATCTTACTTCAAATTACTTTTCATAGTCTCTCGGTTCATTAAGTAATGATCATATGGATATGGCTGGGAATATATGTAAAAATATTAGTAATATGATAATGTTTTCTTCTTACTTATATTTTAATATAAATATATCATGCCATTTTATGTTTTCTTAGAACATTAATTTAGTTTATTAATTTAGTAATATTAATTAGTTAAAGTAATATTAATTTTTATTCATCGAATTAAAGAAAGAAAATCAAGAAGGTAAAAAGAAAGCTAGCGGCAAAACAGTTTAATATAAAGTTTGAAATCATTAAGTGGTAACTATATAAGGTATTTCTCCCACCTTTTTGGCATGCATTCGTGGTGTGGTGGTCTGCACGCTGGACGCATATTCCAGAGGTCCATGGTTCGATTCCCGGCGAAAGCGTTGCTAATTTTTCATTTCTCTTGCTTCCAAAAAAATACCTAATGTCTCTACAGTTAAATAACTAAAATATTTTACCTGTTTTATTTCGGATATAAATGATTTTTCATTATTTAGCAATTCATAAATTAAGTTCATAATTATTAGCATTCACGTTTTTTATAATTAAAAAAAGAATTCCCATTGTTATTGAAAAAATGTTATTGTGTACCACACAAACTTTTATTGCTCTAATGCAGGGCTTCTTAAGCTATGGGTGGCAACCTCAAATGAGGTCGCAAATCGAAATTTTGAGGTCATGAAAATTCAGTTCGATAGCTGAGTTTAAAGAAAATGCATTCACAGGGCTTTTAAAGAAATTGCATTAATTGACATTAGGGAGATTAGACTTATAAAGACATTATATTAATTGATGTTAATGAGATTAATTATCTTTTACATTAAGCGCAAAAGGAATTTGTAAAGCTATATAGCGATTCAAACCTAAGACTTGAGTTTTCACAAAAATCCTTGATGAATTATGGATCGGAGTTAGAACTAGATTTCTCATATATTTCTGAAATGGCATTAAATGTTCTTCTTTCATCTAGCACCATATATTTTCATAAAACTACTTTTTCAGCTTTAACGCTAATTAAAACCAAATATCGTTCAATGTTGAAACATACAGAAAATATTTTATATCCAGCAGTGTCAAATATCGCACCAACATTTAATTTATTATGCAGAAGGAAACGAGCACATCTGTCGCATTAAATTTTCTTTAATTTTGTTTGCTTTAAATATATCCTAAAATACTTCTTTTTATATGTATATTCTTTACCAAAGAAATAAATTTTTTACAGGAAAATATTTATTCTTATAGCTGTATTTTATATTTAATATCTGGTGTCGTGAAAAATTTTTTAATAAAGTCATGCTTTGTTTTTTCTTCTGGGAAATATTCTTTTATAGTTTTCTTCAACTGAAAAGATACTCCACCGTATACCTGTCTAAATTGTCATTGTCGTCTAAATTAAATTCATTTCCATTAGAAAACTGTTTAATTTTGCAAAGTATTGCATGTTATTCTCATTTACATATGATGACCACATGTTAAGTAAAATTGTTCTGTAACTAAATGTATCTTTATACTTTTTTTGTTAATAAACGTTAGCCAACTAGTTACTTTATAATTTTTCTTTTGAATTTTAATTCTGATGCGGAACCCGAGGGTGTGACTCACGGAACCACAGGGATCCACGGTTGAAAACCACTGCTCCAATGTATATATTGAATCGTAAGAGATCACTTCTGTGGACTGGGATTTTAAACATACTGAACGTAAATCAATTCAAGAATATAAACTTTCATCATCTCCCATCATGCAATGATAACACATTTTTGTATCATAAAGAATAACAATGGAAGGTCTTGCAGCAAGAAGGGCCCAGGTCCACTTTGGTGGACTTTGTGTTCATGGGTCTTTTTTGTTTAAGAAAAATCGTTCTTTGCATTGCAGTAAAAAGCCACTGGAGTACCTCTAAAAATCATTTTTACTAGCACTTTTAATGAGAACAAAAGCTTAGAACATGTGTTAAAAAATGAATTTTTGAATTTTGTTTTAATTTTCCTAAAATTTAAAACTGGGCCCTTCTTGTTGCATGCTCTTAAATTTTTTTAAGCAAAAAAAATTTGTTTCCTGTTTTTCTTCCGTATATTGGAGTACCATATACTGGAGGTAAAACTACATTTATAACCAAGTAATATATTTCTAAAATTCTTTATAATTTTATAGTTTGAATAGGAATTCAAAATCTCTTCTTTGTCCTAATTAACACTGTACTGTTTAACTATTGGAGCAGACAACAGTATTCAAATAATTGTAGTAATAATCCCAGAGATTACTATTTCACTGTTACTGACGACCACATGTGAACTAATCAGATGCTCTATTTATTAATAATTTCATAAATTGGTTACAAAATTTTTGCAGGGAAGGAAATGTCCGTTCGAAATCGCGGCCATATTTGTATAATGGGTGGAAGAACCGCTTGCCAAAGCTTTGGACCAGGATTCAAATCTTGGAGAAGGCATATGTGGCATGGGAGCACTTATTTCAGATCGCAAATGAATTATAAAAATTATAATAAGCGGTAACTGTTACAAAATAGCTAGCTGTTTAACACTGCCAGCCATTTTTATTTTTTTATTCATTTATGAATGCCTTCATCATTTTCAATATTTAAAGCAAAGTTTATGTCATATACAAAGTACATTTTCACGGCAATGTCTAAGGTACTGCAGGAGAATGATGATAAGGGGCAATTCGTACAATCACATGAGAGCAAGAGGAAAAGAAAGCAGCCAAGTTACTTCTGACATTTGGAGCTTTAGTGATCAAATTTTAACTGATATGAGCTAAAAAATAAAACTAATACTTATCTGAATAAATAAATAAAATAAAAGTTTACGAACCAGAAGTGAACGGAAAAATTTGGTATAATTTCAAAAGCAAAAT